CCGAGTCATTGATTTCCATCAGTTGTTTGCAGATTATTCGCGGTCGCGCCTTTTCGGCATCCCGCGGCGCAAGATGGCTCAAGACCGCGACGGCCCAGAAGGGCCTGGAGATGGCCGGGGAGGCCTGCAATGCTACCTCAAGACAACCAAAAAGGGCCCCTGGACAGCGCGGGACGGACCCATGAGGGCCTCAAGCCGGGCCCAAGTCGGTCTAAGATGACCCCACCGACGGCCCCAAACGGCCCCACGACGGCCCCAAGAGACCCCCCAGGCGGCCCCCCGAAGGTCCAAAGATAGCCCCAATACGGCCCAGGAGAGCCCCGCGACGGCCTCAGAGGGCCCCGAGGACTTCCCAAAACGGCCCGCACGAGGTTCACGTGGCCCTTCGCGAGGTGACGACAGGCGTCGCATGTGACGGCTGTCGCCTTTGCCGCCGCCCCCTCATCATCGCCGCCACCTTCGTCGCCCTCCTTATGGTCATCCTTGTCGCCGTCAGCGTCGTCGTCATCTCGACCATCGTCGTCATCGCTATTATCACAACATCATGCGATCAACCGCCCACGTCCAGCGCAGCCCTTCTCTTCTTGCCATCGTCATTCACATGACCTCATCGCATTCACCATCTACGCCATCATGGTCATTTATTCAAACCACCATCACCATCATCAGCAGCGGCCCCAAAATGCTCCATAAATTGCGCCAGCCCTTGGGCATGGTATTTTCCGCCGACGCGAGAATCTGGCCCTGTGGTATTTTTCGCCGGCGCGGCGCCCCCCCCCCCCCGACGTTTGCCGCCCACGTCTAATGAGGCAATTGCACCAGAGAAAACCCCGACCAGTGGATGTGTTTGACAATGATAGATATGGATACTGAGATCGATGTGGAATCTAATAGCGAAGCCGATTGCAAGGTCGATCGTGAGACCGATAGCGAAGTCGAACCAATGAGATCGACAGTGAGATCGATCGTGAGACCGTTCATGCGATCTATAGTGAGATCGACTGTGAGATCGATAGTGAGATCGATTGTGAGATCGATAGTAAGATCGACAGGTGGGACATGAGATCGATGGTGAGACCGATCGGTAAGAATATCGACCAGGAACCTGGGTACGTGGGGACCCCGCCGCCCACCGAAATCGGCCTGCGGAACCCGGATCTGGGAACCTGGGGACCCGGAGCCGGGAGCCCGGGAACCCGGCCGCCCACCGAAATCGGCCCAGCACTTTCGCCAAATCCTTCAAATCTCCGCTCGGACCCTTTCAGTGCTAGCAGCGATTGGGAAAATAGAGTAGGCAGCGAACCGCGCCCACGTCGGCGACCAGTAGTTACGCATAGTAGGTCGTTGTTGTAACGCGCGCGCAGGTCGGCCCCCCCTTGCAACGCAACGCGGCGAAAACCATTACTTCCAGCGAAGCCAGATGGACACGTCCCCGTTGACCTTTGCAGTTGTCGGGCGCGTTGGTTCCAACAGGGCAGGCCGTTTTCGTGTCCAGCGTTGAATAGCAGCTCGCGCGTGCGGTCTGGACAACGGGCCCGTTTCGAGACGCGCCCGCACAACGTCGAGCTCTTCCCCCGCATCGGTTCGGCGCGCGCGTGGAAACAACCCGTTTTGACCAAGCAGGTGTCGGCGCCCCGAGAGCGCGATGCCGATGCTGGCCGCGGCTGCCTTCGTTGGGGCGTGATGGTGCGGCAATGGCGGGGCCTTCGAGCGCGACTGCTGCCCTTGAGCTCGAAGGCCCCGTGTGTCGGAACCTTGCCGACACTTGCGCAGGAGGAGGAGGAGGAGGAGGAGGAGGAGGAGGAGGAGGAGGGGGAGGGGGAGGAGGAGGAGGAGGAGGAGGAGGGCGGAGGAGGAGGAGGAGGAGGAGGAGGAGGAGGAGGAGGCGGAGGAGGAGGAAGAGGAGGAGGAGGAGGAGGAGGAGCGGAATGTCTTTGGCCACGCGCAGACAGCAACGCGCGAGGTGGATTCGCCGCGCGACGACGTGTTCCCCAGATGATGGGCGCGAGGGCGCGGGCGATCCACTTCGGTTCACGAGCGTGGCGGTTGACTCATTGACGTCGGCATCCCGAGCAGCTGCATGTTGCCCGCGAGCGTGCCGCCCCATCTGGACGAGTTTCGCTGCCCGCGTTCTGCGACACGTGCGTCTGCTCGCGCGGCGGCGCGCCCCCCCCGACTTGATGGCGGCGGCGGTGACCTAGGGCATCGGTTTATGATGTTCCAACCTACTTCCGCCTGGATCACCAGGAAGAATTTCGAGCACCAAAAAAGCACCGAAACTCAAGGGTTTTCACGTGTCGGGCCCTTGGAGACACTCGCCCGACACTGTTTCGACACTCTTTCGATACTCTTTCGACGCTTCTCCGGGTGCTCGAAATTAGTTCTGGGATGTAGTCCTTCAGTACGGCGGGAGCAACAGAAGCATCGGTGAAAGAACGAGCACACGGCTTTGAACATCGACGCCCACGTCAATCAGATTCGGCAAACGTTTGTGCCTCCCCAAATGTGGCGTCTACGAGAGCACGCCAAATGGCGCCGCCCCTGGCGCTGACCCAGATGACGGGCGGCAGCGGCAATCCACGTCGGCGCGCTTGCGCGTCGACGGCGGGTGCGTCGGCAACCGTGGGAGTGTTCGGGAGGGCCAGGGGTCGCCGCCGACGCGCCGCCGCGGGGCCCCCCTCGGCGCGCCGCTCGCTCGCCGTCTGTCTAGGCGCGCGCGCGTTCCCCGGCAGCGCCGCGCGGATGGGGCTGCCGCGTCGGCATGCCGCGGGTCTGTGTCCCCCAGGTGCCATGCTTGTTTTGGAAGTCGAACCAGGCAGCTGGCATCGAGTGCTCTCTCTGCAGCTTCCTTCTTCCTGAACTGGTTCAAGCATGCAGCTTACGCCTTGCCGCGTTTGCGCAGCTCCCTTGCGTAGTTCTCGCGGTCGGCTTGCTGCCGACGCGTGGGGGCGCAGCTTGCGCAACAGCCCAAAGCAGCCATTCACGATTTACCACTGGACTATTACTCAGCGGCGCTGCAGTGTACGTGTTCAGGGCGATCGAAGCTGGGAACGGGGGAAAGAAGGCCAGGATGACCCTAATTATCGCGCGGGCCGACCTACCCCGACTCGACGACGTCTACACTTCGGTGGACCTTGGGGACGAACGCGGACTTGCTCAGGGTTCGAGCGGTTAGTGAAGCACGATCTAAGCCGCTATCGTCCTCGCTTCGCCGACGTCATGCACGACAGTCATGATCGCCACCGTGCAGCTGAGAAGAAGAAGAAGAAGAAGTTCCGGGTCCGACGGACGGCGAATCATCGAAATCATATTCCCAAGTAGATGCAGCATGAGCCGTGGCCAATTAGCCTGAAAAAATGATATCATACGTAGAGGAGATCTGGTGAAATCATAAAACACCAGCGTTTGCGCGTGAACCTTTTTGGCGAAGGCCCGGCCATGTGCGCGCGCGAGTGCCGCAAGGCAGGTGGGGCGAAAGAAGTGTCGCGAAATGTAAGATGGGTGTGCCGACAGTTACGTCAAGCGGGCGTTGCCACTGGGGCCTTCGGTGGGGCCCTCTTGCGGGGCCACGAAGAGTGTGAGGGGCGTGTCGAAATTGGCGGGGTGACGGAACGTGGGCGTTGCCATTGGTTTTTCGGTGAGGGGATTGCCGGGTGGTCACGAGACGTCTAAGGAGTGCGTTGAAATTGACGGGGGTGGGCGCCATGCGGTCATTGCCACAGGGGCTTTCGGTGAGGCACTCTATGGCACTTAGCGGGGTGACGCCATGCGGGCGCTGCCGCTGGGGCCTTCGGCGGGGCTAGAGTGAGGCCGCGAAACGTGCGAGGGAGGGTTGCGTCGAAATTGGCGGGGTGACGCCACGCGGGCACTGCCGCCAGGTCCTTCGGCAGGGCTCCCCGGCGGGCCACGAAGCGTGGGAAGGGCGTGTCGGCATCAGCGGGGTGACGCCATGCGGGCGCTGCCATTGGGGTTTTCGGTGGGGCTGCGAGTGGGGTCACGAAGCGTGTGAGGGGTGCGTTGAAATCAGCGGGGTGATGCCATGCGGGCGCTATCGTTGGGGCCTTCGGTGGGGCTCCTCGTGGATGACGACAGGCGTGAAGGGGTATGTTGGCGTGTGCGGGGTGACACCTAGCGGGCGTTGCCACTGGTACCATCGGTGAAGGTTCCTTGCGGGGTCATTGAAAGGTGTGTCGAGGGCCCGTATGCGATTTGTGAAATTGGGGGTTTTCGGTGGAGCTCGTTCAGGGGAGATCTGAGGCCGATTATGATCAGGATGGCGATGCTGGTGATGCTACATTGGGTGATGCTGATGGTGATGGCGACGACGACGGTGATAACGGTGATACCCATGGTGGCGATGATAATGATGATGGCGATGACGACGACGACGACGACGACGACGATGATGATGATGATGATGATGATGATGATGATGATGATGATGATGATGAAGGTGGTGCTGATGGTGGTGGTGATGTTTATGAGGAGGATGATGAGGATGATGATGCTGATGATGAGTATGATGATGAACATGTTGATGATGATGCTGATGATGATGGTGCGGACGATGCTGCCAATGCTGATGATGACGGTGATGGTGGTGCTGACGATGACGATGTATAAGGGAACATCTGGAAAAAAGAGGGGGGCACGGATGGAAGGTGGGAGCAGGGAGAGGAGGAGAGGAGGACGTTGGGGTGGTGTCTCTCCAAAGCGAGGATCCAACACCACATGATGGTTGAGAAATGCAGGAAGGGGGTCTCGTGAACCCATCCAGCATATGTATATATATATATATGTATAGAGCTATCTAACTTCAAGTGTGTATATATATATATATATATATATGTACATGTCCATGTACATGTATACGTGCACAAAGGGTATACAAAGCGAGACAGAGATATAACACAAAACGACAGAGAGAGAGAGAGACACCAGCAACACAACAGCCCAGGAAGTAGTTTCACGGCTTGGCCCTCCCGGCGGGCCAATGAATTCTACGAGGCCCGACTCTGCCGCAGGCAGTTGAGTCTGCGGCGCTTCTCTTGCGCCGATGCTCTGCGCGCTGTTTTTGAGGGTGGGCCGGCTGGCGGGGGAGGGAGCGCGACGCTGCAAATCCATAGGTGCTGCCCTGCCTTCTGGCAGCCCCGGCAGGGCAGCCGCGAGCGCAGTTTGCGCAGCGCGGCAGCCTCGGCAGGGCGGCCCACGCCGGGCAGCCGCCGAGAGGGCAGCTGTCGTTCTCCCGGGGCGGCGGTGGTGCTGCCGCGCCTTGCCAGGCTGGTCACGGCCGGACCGAGGTATGAGATCGAGGTCGGTTCGGGGAGGGCACCCTCATGTTCTTCGTGCTTTGTTGGAAGTTCTTGTGCGTCCTGGGGGAGGGCACCCTCGAGTGGGCTCATGTTTCGGCGCGTTTTGGCCGGCGGAGGGCCTCATGTTCTTCTAGGGCCAGCCGTAGCGGCGCTGTTGCGTAGGCTGTTCCTTTCCGTGCACGAGCTTGGTACACCGCGTGCCTTTCTGCAGCTCGTGCACGGATGGCTCCGAAGGGCAACTTTCTTTGAGAAATCGGATGAACAGGGGCAGCGTTAGGGAGGGGATTGGCGCAGGGGGATGCGTGCATCGACCCCGAATGACCCAGTCATCGCTGGTAGGGGCCGATCGCCCTCGCCGCCCAGGAACTTGCGGATTCGCCATCGGGGGCCTATCGCCGATCCATCGGCGATGTATCGTCGATTCGAGATCGATGTTTCCTTCCCTGACGTTCTCCATCAGATCGCCTTTCCTCGTATCTTCCTCTTGCTCCTCTTCCCCATATCCCCCTCGCAGCAGCCACCTACGTCTAGCTTGTACTCTTCCCTGTATTTTTCTGGCGGCTGCCGCGGGGGGCAGCTGGCACTGCCGCGGCCTGAACTCCATTAGCACCTGAGCTTTGGGTTTTGAAAAAGGGCCACAGTCCATGGGGACGCTTGCCACCGTCCACTAGGGACGCTCCGACGCTCCGTGCTTTTGCGGCAGAACTTCTGGCGCAGCGAACGTTTGCCAGACCTCTTGTCACACTGCAAACCTGGTGCAGGCCCATTGCATTGAGATGGCCCGTGGTGATGCAGAGACCTCGTTTCTTGTAAGCAGTCGCCGCTTGTGAAACCACTACTGGGTCAGTAAAGACAATAATAGGTTACATACCGAATACATGACTGTGCCACGAATTTAAGGCACTAAATCCTCATCGCTTTCGTCGTCATTTTTATCCAAACCACATGATCTTGAGACTGATGATGGGCCCCATAGCTAGCTACTTAGGAATTTTCGGCTTCAAGGATCCAGTGGGTGCGTTCGCATACAGCATCAGAGCATAAGGCAGAAATGCCCCCGGCGCATTCCAGCACACACCTCACACGTTTCGCGCCCTAGCTCCCCCCGTTCCCCCCGTCCGTGACCATTTTGAGGAGGAGGAGGAGGACGGGGAGGAAGGATTTGATGATGAGGAGGATGAGTATGAGGACGAGTGATGATGATGAGGAGGAGGAGGAGGAGGAGGAGGAGGAGGAGGAGGAGGAGCAGGAGGAGGGGGATGAGGGATGACGATGCGGATGACGGAGACCCAGCGACTAGGCGACGCATGGCGACAGAGAGCCGAGCTCGAGGCCAGCGACCCGAGTTATGGTCCGTGATAGGGGTCATGTGCTGACGGGTCGCCGACGAGCCGCGGAAGTGGCCTCCTGGGGCCTCCGGGTGCCTCCTGGACTTTTCAAGGCCTCGTGGGGCCTCTTGGGGCCTCCTCGGGCCTCCCGAGAGTCTCCTGAAGCCTCCTGCGGCCTCTTGGGGCCTCCTCGGGTCTCCTGAGGGCCTCGTGGAGCCTCCTGGGACCTCTTGGGTTTCCAGGTGCCTCCTGGACCTCGCAGAGAGGCTCCTGGGGCCTCCTGTTGCCTCCTGTTGCCCTTTGGGGCCCCCTGAGGGTCTCCTGAAGCCCCCTGGGGCCTCTTGGGGCCCCCCTCGGGTCTTCTGAGGGCCTCGTGGAGCCTCCTGGGACCTCTTGGGGCCTCCTCGAGCCTCCTGAGGGCCTCCTGGGGCTTCCTGGAACCTGGGACCTCTTGGGCCTCCTCGGGCTTCCTGAGGGCCTCCTGAGGGCCTCCTGGGGCCTCCTGGAGCCTCCAGGGCTCCCAGGGCCTCCTCGGACCTTCGGGGCGTCCTCAGGGCCTCCTGGGGCCTCTTAGATCTTTTGGAAGCTCCTGGAGCTTCCTGGAGTTTCCTGGAACACTCGAGGCTGCCCTGGTAGCAAGCGCCTCGTGCCACGTGGCGATGGCCTCCACGAGCGGCACAGGCTTCGCGGCGTCGTCGGCGTCGATCATCATGTCAAGCTTGGATTCCAGGCAAGTGTCGACCACCGCGCTCGGGGGGGGGTTGGGGTCGGCCGGATCGAGGGGGGCAGGATGGGCGATTTCATTCACGGGAATGAGCCCTGACTCCAGATCCGCCCTACTTTGGCTTTTTTTCCAACTTAAAATTGCGTCGGAAATCCACCTAGAAGAGGCCGAAAAAGTAGGGCGGAAATTGCTGCACCCAACATAAGATAGGGCGGAAACCCACAGAAACAGCAACAGAAACGTGGGGCGGAAATTGGCATCAGCGGGGCTTGAAAAGTAGGGCGGACATTCCGAGCCCTGCTTACGAATTTCCCCAAAGTGGGGCGGATCCGGAGTCAGGGTAGGGGAATTGACGTCCAGGGGACGATCGGGAAGAGTGCCCCGGGAGGTCCCGGGAGGTCCCGGGCCCCGGAGGTCGGGCCGTGCCCAGAAGTTCGAACCTGCAGGTTCGGACCTCTGGGAAGGGGGAGGAGGAGGAGGAGGAGGAGGAGGAGGAGGAGGAGGAGGAGGAGGAGGAGGAGGAGGACGAGGAGGAGGACGAGTCTTGACAGGTGGTCAATTTTCGGTTGCGGGCTGCAGGCTTGTTCAACTTCCAGGGCCCGGGAGGTCGGAGCCCTGCAGGTGCCCGCGAGGGCCGCTACTCCCAGACAAAAAAAAACAGAGTATCCCTAGAAGGCCAGACGCCGTGGCCAAATGCAGCGCCCAAGGCACTGTCATGTACGATTGTTTGTTGCGTGCACGTGCGTAACCGAATCGCCCTCTTGTTGGGCCAAGTTTGTTTGAGAGGGGTGCATTGTTTTGATTCGGTTGCGCGAAATGTGATTACGAAGTGTGATTTGGTTATGATTTGGTTTTGCAAAGCTCAAATTGGGCTACGATTTGGTTACGCTATACCAAATTTGGTTACGATTTGGTTACGTCCCCATATGGTTACGATTTGGGTACGATTTGGCTAACTGAGGTCCGTCGTGGAAACGGATGATGTGCCCGAGTCCTGTCTGGCAGGGTTTCCGTAGTCTGTAGTCTTCTAAAGGGCCCCCCTCCGCGGGACGCGGACCGGCGACTGCACCGCCCCCCTTGCAAAGACCCTGCAAAGACCATGCAAAGGCCACCATGCAAAGACCATGCAAATATTAAACCCTGCAAAGCCCTTGCAATACCCCCGGAGGAGGACCCCCTCTCCTCATTCATGCGTGTTTCTTATTTTTTGTTCGGGCGGGGGGTTGGCGTTCAGCCATCTATTGCAACACCTTGGGGCATCAAAGGACCATCGGGGGCGAGTAATTAGGCAATACAGCGAACATCTACCTGACAGGCACACTGCATATCGATTAATTTCGCAACGACGGGGGCGTATTTTGGAGGCTTAGTGGCCACGCTAAGCCAACATCTGGGGCTGTTCTTGAGGCCTTTAGCCAGCATTATGGAAGCCACAGTGTACCAGCTTGGGCAGACTCCCTCCCGCTTCGCCCGCCCCCTTCTTGAGCCCCATCGACAATGTCGAACATGGTCGTTTCGATATACTTTCGTTTTGGTTACGATTTGGTTATGATTCGGTTACGATTATGTCATTTGGTTATGATTTGGTTACGGAAATTGAATACGGTGGCGATTTGGTTATGCAATATTAAGTATTCCTCCGTCCTCCGAGCAGTGTGTGTGTGTACATGTGTAGACAAGATATCTTGCCATACTGGCCTGGGGAACTCTTGTGACACATTCCGCACGTATGTAGTCTTCATGTCAATCGGTATCTTCCGCCTCGCCCCAACCCTTCTCCACCTTCTCGGTATCTTCCTTTCCTCTTGATCACGGGCTTTCAAAACGTATGCTGGCACGGCTGAAATTGAGAATCGACGGGAGCGGTCTTCACCGCTCCTAGTTCACGTTTCACAACCCACCAGCCGGGTTCTGCCTGCGCCGTTCCCAGTCAAAATATATCATCTTGTTCAACCTTCACATCGTGATCCTCACACCTCGTCCCTTTCACTACCTCATCTGGTTTTATGCAGGTTGGGAGGTTGAGCTCCTTGGGCTGCAGTCGCTATTCGGCGTCCCAGGTGTCGTCGAGGTGGCTCTGTCTGAGGACGCGGCGAGTTGGTTGTTTGATACTTTTGCTTCGAGCAAGCGTCTGGCGAGATCTGGGCAATCAAACGTTCTGCTCACAAGCACACGGAGTGTTGCGCGACGAGGTTTCTTGACGCTCCCAGCGCACGGGTTGTCGGGAATCCAGTCTAGTCCAGGGCATCCTCTTCCTATACTCCTCATTTTCCTACTCCTCCTCCTTTTCCTTGACTTTGGGGCACCACTGGGCGCCTCTCTCGGTCCCGGGTCCCGCTGGAGCTTCTTGGACCGCCCGCAGTCTGTTTGGGACCATGCCCGGGGGATGGTCCGCCAGGGGAAGACGACCTGTGTGCATATGATACTGGGTCGAGGGTTCCAAGCCCCTCCCCAGATGGGATGGGCCCCAGAGTTCCACAGCCCCCCCCCCAGATGGGACGGGGGTGGGGACGCCGACGCCGAAGCCGACGCGGAAGACGACGACGACGACGACGACGACGACGACGACGACGACGACGACGCTGCCGTCGCCGACGCCGACGCGAACGCCGACGCGAACGCCGACTCCGAAGCCGACGCGAACGCCGACGACGACGACGATAACGAAGACGAAGATGTCGACGACACCGCCGCTGACGACGACGACGACGACCACGAAGACGACGACGACGATGACGACGACGACGACGCCGACGCCGACGCCGATGCCGACGCGACGCCGATGCCGACGCCGACGCCGACGCCGACGCCGACGCCGACGCCAACGACGACGACGACGACGACGACGACGACGACGACGACGACGACGACGACGACGACGACGACGACGACGACGACGACGACGACGACACCGACGACAACGCCGCCGCCGCCGCCGACGCCGTCGTCGGCGCCGACGACGACGACGACGGCGGACGGCGGACGACGGACGACGGACGACGGGCGACGGGCGACGGACGACGGACGACGACGACGACGACGACGACGACGAGGCCGAGGACGAACCACCCCACACCCACAGGGGGAGTGCGGGGGGTGCACCGGCACCCTCCACCACTCCACGCCCACGGCCACGACCAGAAGGGGGGGAATGATCCCATTCGCGATGCCTTCCCGAGGCTCACGGGCGTCCAGCGGGGTGGGGGGCTCGAACCCATATGAATTGGGGGGGGCAGGGGGGGAGGGCAACCCTGAATCCTACATCGGCTGCTTCGGGGAGAGGAAGGAGGACAGGGGCAAAAGCCAGAAGAGGGGGAGGGGCGACTCTGGAGAATCTGCCTGATCGTGTAGCGATATGAATCCAACTCCGCCGCAACCTACGATCGGTTGCTTTGTCTCTTGGCCTTCTCAGCTCGACTGAGGACTTTGGGCCAGAGCCCTGCAGCTATTCTTCCTAAAGATTCCCGTCCTGTGGGGTTGGGGTCCTCATTCTTCTCAGCAAGTTTGCCAAGGCGTTGTCTGTCTATGGCCCCTGGGCAAGAGGAGGGGGACGGGGATGAGCAGAAGGGGAAGCACACGTTGGGGAAGGGGAGGGGAGGGGGACGGCATACGTGTGTGCGGGGGGGGGGGGGGTTAAGGCTGAGCATCTCGGAGTGTTCCCGGCGCTCCGATCGGCCCGAGGGGGCACCTCTGCGCGCGCCTCGGTGGCCGGGGGCCCGCTCCACGCGAGCTCCCAGGCGAGGGGCGGCGCGCAGAACACGCTGAGACTAACGGGGGATCCTGGGAAGATCGACCGCTTCGTCAGCGAGGTGAGGGCAAAGTGGTGCTGTGAGAAGAAGGTGACCGAGCCCTCCAGGGGGGGCAGCAGGCCAGGGCTTCAGGGATCTTGGGGGAGGGGGCCTGGGGTGGGGGTCAGGAGGGTCTGCAAGGACCAGAGAAGACCAGAAGGCCAGAGGGTAAGGCGATTACCTGAGGGGGAAATGGAATCTCTGCACGCAGGGCAAGAGGGCGCATGGCGGTTCGGAAGTAGGGAGCGTGTGCAAGACGGGGGAGACTGGGTGCGGCGGGCAGGCAGGATGGGCAGCAAGGGTCAAAGATCGGAGGAGGAGGAGGAATGAGAGCGGAGGAGGAGGAGGAGGAGGAGGAATGAGGAAGAGGCAGGAGGAAACAGAGAATATTGACCTTATTATTCATGACAGCCTTGTTGCTCTCAGTGCGGTCAGCACTCGAACAGCTAGAACCTAAGCGCGCGCGAAGCGCGCGTGGTTCTCGTACATGTATGTATGTATGCATGCACGATGTATGTTTGCATGTATGTGTTATGCATGTTTGTTTGTATGTATGTGTAGATATGCATGAACATACGCATATGTTTCATATGATATGTACATAAATCGGAGTAGGCAGGGGGAGGGCCCGGAACCGGCGCCACTGGTTTGCATGGCGGTCGAGAGGGGCCTTGAAGGCTCCAAGTGGACCCAGAAGGGGCCCCGGACCCCCCAGAGGCCCCCACTGAGATGACCTCGGGACGGGCCACGAGCGCTCGAAGACAGCCCAAGACTGCTCCTAGACTGCCACGCAGGCGTTCAAGACGGTCCAAGAGGCCGCTGAGAAGGCCCCCCAAGAGCAAAAAACAAGCATTTCCGATGTAAAACGTATACTTCTGGGATGTTCGCTTCAGTCCTAACAGCGGCCGCGACGGCACCAGATGCTCCCACAATCAGCGCCCGACGGCCCCAGAGGCCCCCATGGGGGCCCCAAAGCGGCCTGAAGAGAGCTTCAAGCAGCACAAGCTCCAAGACGGCCCAAGAGAGTCCCCAGGGGGCCCGAGGGGGGCCACCGGAGGATCCCCACATGGTCGGAGAGGGCGCCAAGAGGGCCCCAAGATGGGCTCAGGTCCCCATCACGGGGCGAAGAGGGACCCAGAACTGCCGAAATGGGCCCCCAGACGGGCTAGAAAAGGCTCGCAAGGACTCTCTCAAGACGGTCCAGGAGGCCGCCGAGAAGGCCCCCCAAACGCAAAAAACCACAATGTCCGATGAAAAAGCGTGCATTTCCGGGATATTCGCTTCTTTTGTTCTACGGGCGGCCACGTCGGCCCCAAAGGCTCCCCAAATGGACTCGAGACGGCCCAGGAGGCCCCCGAGAGGGCCCCAAGATGGCCTCAAGAGAGCTTCGAGCAGCACGGGGGAGGTCCAAAACAGCCCAAGAGAGTCCCCAAGGGTCCCGAGGGGGCCACCAGAGGACCCCTAAAGGTCGGAGAGGGCCACAAGAGGGCCCCAAGACGGGCTCAGCTCCCCATGACATGCCAAGAGTGACCCGTGACGAGGCCCCCAGACGGGCTAAAAAAGAACAGCACTATTTTAAATCGGTCCAAGAGGCCGCCGAGAAGGCCCCCCAAGGGCAAAAATCCACCATGGTCGGCGAACAAAATGACTTGGGGGATATTCGCTTTTTCAGTCCTAACAGCGGCCACGTCGGCACCAAAGGCTCTCAAACTCGACCCCTGACGGCCCCAGAGGCCCCCAAGAGGGCCCCAAAGCGGCCTGAAGAGAGCTTCAAGCAGCACAAGAGAGCTCCAAGACGGCCCAAGAGAGTCCCCAGGGGGCCCGAGGGGGCCACCGGAGGACCCCTAAAGGCCGGAGAGGGCCACAAGAGGGCCCCAAGACGGGCTCAGCTCCCCATGACATGCCAAGAGTGACCCGTGACGAGGCCCCCAGACGGGCTAAAAAAGAACAGCACTATTTTAAATCGGTCCAAGAGGCCGCCGAGAAGGCCCCCCAAGGGCAAAAATCCACCATGGTCGGCGAACAAAATGACTTTGGGGATATTCGCTTTTTCAGTCCTAACAGCGGCCACGTCGGCACCAAAGGCTCTCAAACTCGACCCCTGACGGCCCCAGAGGCCCCCAAGAGGGCCCCAAAGCGGCCTGAAGAGAGCTTCAAGCAGCACAAGAGAGCTCCAAGACGGCCCAAGAGAGTCCCCAGGGGGCCCGAGGGGGCCACCAAGGACCCCTAAAGGCCGGAGAGGGCCACAAGAGGGCCCCAAGACGGGCTCAGCTCCCCATGACATGCCAAGAGTGACCCGTGACGAGGCCCCCAGACGGGCTAAAAAAGAACAGCACTATTTTAAATCGGTCCAAGAGGCCGCCGAGAAGGCCCCCCAAGGGCAAAAATCCACCATGGTCGGCGAACAAAATGACTTGGGGGATATTCGCTTTTTCAGTCCTAACAGCGGCCACGTCGGCACCAAAGGCTCTCAAACTCGACCCCTGACGGCCCCAGAGGCCCCCAAGAGGGCCCCAAAGCGGCCTGAAGAGAGCTTCAAGCAGCACAAGAGAGCTCCAAGACGGCCCAAGAGAGTCCCCAGGGGGCCCGAGGGGGCCACCAGAGGACCCCTAAAGGTCGGAGAGGGCCACAAGAGGGCCCCAAGACGGGCTCAGCTCCCCATGACATGCCAAGAGTGACCCGTGACGAGGCCCCTAGACGGGCTAAAAAAGAACAGCACTATTTTAAATCGGTCCAAGAGGCCGCCGAGACGGCCCCCCAAGGGCAAAAATCCACCATGGCCGGCGAACAAAATGACTTGGGGGATATTCGCTTTTTCAGTCCTAACAGCGGCCACGTCGGCACCAAAGGCTCTCAAACTCGACCCCTGACGGCCCCAGAGGCCCCCAAGAGGGCCCCAAAGCGGCCTGAAGAGAGCTTCAAGCAGCACAAGAGAGCTCCAAGACGGCCCAAGAGAGTCCCCAGGGGGCCCGAGGGGGCCACCAGAGGACCCCTAAAGGTCGGAGAGGGCCACAAGAGGGCCCCAAGACGGGCTCAGCTCCCCATGACATGCCAAGAGCGACCCGTGACGAGGCCCCCAGACGGGCTGAAAAAGAACAGCACTATTTTAAATCGGTCCAAGAGGCCGCCGAGAAGGCCCCCCAAGGGCAAAAATCCACCATGGCCGGCGAACAAAATGACTTGGGGGATATTCGCTTTTTCAGTCCTAACAGCGGCCACGTCGGCACCAAAGGCTCTCAAACTCGACCCCTGACGGCCCCAGAGGCCCCCAAGAGGGCCCCAAAGCGGCCTGAAGAGAGCTTCAAGCAGCACAAGAGAGCTCCAAGACGGCCCAAGAGAGTCCCCAGGGGGCCCGAGGGGGCCACCGGAGGATCCCCACATGGTCGGAGAGGGCCCAAAGACGGCCCCAAGACGGGCTCAGCTCCCCATGACGAGCGAAGACGGAGTCGGGACGGCCGAAATGGGCCCGCAGACGGGCCAACAAAGGCCCCAAAGAGCTCCAAAGGAAGGCCCGGAGAGGCTCCAGAGACTCCCACGATGCTTCCCTCCCCGGAGGCGTCGCAGCAGGCCGCCACGAGCGTATGGGAGGTCTCGTGTCTACGTCCTGCAGGATCGATTTCAGGGCTTCTCGAGGCTCCACCGAAACATGCTGCGGGGCGCCAGGAAGTAACCGAAACACTCCGAGCTCACGGTCGATGTCAGAGGTGTACCGACATGGGCGGTGGAGGGCGGCCTGCGCACGCTGGCTTTCGGACTGCGCTGGAGCTCCCACTGGGATACGATCCGCGCGAGAAGCTCAGTCGCCCTGGGGGGGCGTGATGTTGCGCGAATCCTCCCACAGAGGGGCGCGTGCAACCGCGTTCTCATCTGGCGCACGACGATCCGTGTGATGGGTGCGTTGAGATGGGCGGGGGGCCGCCGTCGTGGCCGTGGGGCTCCTTGCTTCCCTCGGGGTTTCCTGGAGGTCTCCTCTCTGTCCTCTCGTCGTCGTCGTCGTCGTCGTCGTCGTCGTCGTCGTCGTCGTCGTCGTCTTCGTGGTAGTCGTGAAAAGGAGGAGGAAGAGGAGGAGGAGGAGGAGGAGGAGGAGGAGGAGGACCACCGGAGGATCCCAACATGGTCGGAGAGAGCCCCAGAAAGGCCCCAAGACGGCCTCAGCCCCCTATCACGGGCCAAGAGGAACTCGGGACTGCCGAGAAGGGCCCCCAGACGGGCCAAAAAAAGCCCAGAAGGATTTCCAAGGAATGCCCGCAGAGGTCCCATAGACTCCCACAAAGCTTCCAACAGGCTCCCAGGAGGCGTCCAAGTAGGCCTCCATAAGCGTACGGGAGGTCTCGCGTTTACGTCCTGCAAGATCCATCTCAAGGCTTTCAGAGGCCCTGCAGAGAGACAGGGATACATCTATCTATATCGATATATACATACGTGTACATATATGTTCTCATGTATGCATAGGTGTATGTATGCAAGCATGTCTACATGTATGTATGTATGCATGTATGTATGCATGTATGGATATATGTGTGTATGTGTGTATGCATGCATTGGTGTATACATGAATGTATGTATGTATGTATGTATGTATGTATGTATGTGCGGATGCATGCGTGTATGCATGCATGTATGAGTGAATGTATGTATGCATGTATGCATGTATGTGAGTATGCGTGTATGCGAGTATGCATGTATGTATGTGTATGCATGTATGCATGTATATATATATATATATGTGTATTTGTGTATGCATGTTTATGTATGTACGCACGGATTTATGTGTGTATGGATGTATGTATCTATGTATGGATGTGTGGCTGCATTTGTGAATGCATGTTTGATGGTATATTTATAGGTACGTGTATATGTATGTGCATGTATGTATGTATGATTCATGCATGCATGCATGCGTGTACGCATGCATGTATGCATGTATGTATGTATGTACGTGCATGTACGGATGTATGTATGTATGTATGTATGTATGTATGTACGTACGCATGTATCCACGGATGCATGTATGTGTGCATGCATGCATGCATGCATGCATGCATGCATTT